GATTGTCCTTTACATTTAGAAAAATCTGGGTTTGTACTGGAGACTTTCATAATGTATTTTTTTCAATCCTGACTGCAATTACATTGTAACTAGTGTTTTGAAGAAAAAGCTAATGATATTGTAAGATCTAGCTCTAACTAGTTTTGTAGTTTTGTTAATTATGCTTATCAAATTCTTGGCTGCAATGTTCTCATTTTCTCTTTTTCAGGACTATGTCCAGAATGTTCCCACAAACTAAACTTCCATCACCGGTAATGAAATATTTTGAAAAGCATAAATATTCTGGAGCTTTTATAAAGGCACTGTTGAGGGTTGGGATGCTGTGCTAATGATAGCACAGAACCCTTCAGACTGGAAGAATTCCATCCCTACCACCACAGAAATTTCATTTGCTCAATTTCAGCTCAGTGATTATTTTTCTTCTGCTTCTAATAGCACTTTTCAACTGAATATGTTTTTTTCAGTTTAACTACTGATAGATGTCTGAAAAAATGACACGTTTGACTGAATTAAATACTTCAGATTTACTGTTGCATAAGAAGTACATATAATAGAGGAGGTGTACATTCATTTTTTTTAAAGGAGGAAAGAAGTCAAAACATGCAAGAAAAAAGGCACAGCTGCACAGAACTCTAAAGAGCCAAAAAATAAGAAGAGAAAATTATCTCATTCAGCAAAAAAGAAGTCCAAAAAAAAGACCCATAAAGGTAAATTTAAACTTTAAAACTTCAGTTGTTAAAATACTCAGATTAGTTGAACATTAGTTTTGCTACAGCAACGTAGATAGAGACATATAATTATGTATAAATACATTTAGTTATATGGACAGATATGTAACTTTCTTGACGTCAACACAGGTAGTCAAAAAGGTAAATTTCTTAGGTAAAATTTCCTAGATGCAGAAAAAAGATAAGTTTCTTATATTTAACAGAGGGACAACCTTTTGAAAAGTATGCACTGCAAGGGAAATTTGTGCAATCATTGGATGTTGCATACTAGAAGGGGTTGTGAAGTATTTCATTCCATGAGGCTTTGGGGTTGAAAGCCCTTTGAAAATGTTAGATAACCTTTTTACACCAGAGATCTTGGGTTGACATAACTGGGCTCAAACTGATGACCTTTGCACTCATGCAAAAAAAATCATTTTATTATAGTGTTGACTTGCTTTCTTTGAATGTGGTGCGTGCATGCATGTGCACGTTTAGTGTAATAAATTGTGATAGAAATATCTTTGTAAACAATATAAGATAACAGATAAAACCAAGAGAATCTCACCAGTTTTTTTCTATTTTGGTGTTTCTTTACAGATCATGTATCTTCAGATGATTCAGATAGTTCTGATAAAGGTAAAGGTATTTTAATATCCTTTATATTTTTGTAATAAATTGTATAATATCACAGACAGTTGTCATTGATCTTAGTTTTATTAGGTGTTTTAATATTTTATATGATAAGAATGCTGTCTGAAACAAAGAGAAATACAAAGATTCGAATGAATGACTTACATGTCTTGGAGAAAAAGTGTAGGGAATTTTAAGGAGGAAATTGTTTAATCAAAAAATAGAAGTGGGGCCAGATTACAGAAGGGAAATAACCAGAAAAATGAGAGGTCAGGCTGTTCCAAAAAAGAGTAGAGGGTGCAAAAATAGGTACGTTGTTAATAATTTCATGCTGTGTAAAGATAGTACTTTTCTGATACAATAACTGCTACATTTTCCTTCAGGGAGTTATACTGATACTCCGCTAAAAAAAAAAAAAAAAAAAGATTTTAAATAAATCCTAGACTTTAATTAATGTCTTTTCCACCTACTTGTTGCAGGTAGATGCATTCTACCTGCAAGTCACTACTTGTATCTCAGT